TTTCCAGAGAAAGTCAATTATTTTTTTTTACTGGTATTTTATTTCACACCTTGAAAATTTACTGCATAAATGTTAACACTTACTAAAAAAAAATGATCTTTGAATTTGAAGAGTGGCCTTGAAAATTCATTGAGGATATTGCCTTCTCAGAATCAAAATTTTCTTATTGAAAAAACTTGTATTTCTCGGACTTTTTGCTGGGCAATTTATTTAAAAGATTGCCATGCAACTTTTATATTTTAAGCTTACATCTTATAAGCATCATGTTCAAAAACAAGCACACTAACCTATTTATTGTATCATTGGCAATCATACCACATCTCCTTATTTTATATTTATCTTTTCATGGCAACTCGTCCTACATGGTTTGTCACATTTACATGAAACTTGTTGCATTGTACATTGTTAGATCCTAACATGTAGGTGTGCATGTGTGTAGGATGTTTGGTCCATCGAGTTTTTTGACAGAGCTGAGGGTTACTGACCATATCATTGCAACTCTTCCTACATGGTCTATTGTATCAACATGAAACTTGCTACATTGTTAGATTCATATACAGATGTGTATGTGGGCATGATGTTTCGGTCTATTGAGTCTTATTTTTATGCCCCTTTTAACTTAAGAGTTTTGGCAGAACAGACCTTGTTATCGCAACCTCTCTTCAATTGCCAGCAAGACACAGGGTTTGGTAGAATCCTTTTAAAATTTTATATTTATGAAACTTAGTACATACTGTTTTAACTTACTACCTGAAGTGATTACATGCTATTATTATCTGTTGCTATTCAAAGATAAGGTTTCCTTCATAAACATGTATAATTCATGTATAAATTAGATCAGGTTATTTTATTTCAACTCTAATCCTTGCCCTTTAATTATCCCCAATAATAATATTTTAATAGTTGAAAGCAATATATGAAATATTATTATTATTCTTGAGGCAAATTGACAAAATACTTTAGTTTGTTTTTTTCTAAATTTGGATTAGAAAATTTACTTCTTTTGAATTGTAAAATTGATATAGAATTAAATAACTGTATTCAAATCGATAATATTTTCCAATTTAATTGTTATTTCTGTATCATTTAATTAATTTGTCTTTATCAAATAAATAGAATTTTCTTTACTTAAGTTATTATAATTAACTTATAATCTATCATGTTTTATGCAAAGAGAAGAAAAAATAGAATATCAGCCAACTAAAAGTTCTGTAATTTTAAGAAACAGCAATACAGATTTCTTGGATACTCATTTTTGGCTGGGATGGACGAAGTCTAAAACTTGCTTACAGGTTGCACTTCTGTAAAAATATAGACAATTTCCCATAGGAAGCTACTTTTATGGCTAAAACTGTGCATTGTTCCAGATAGTTCAATTTATCCACTATCCAACAGTATTTATACTGGTAAAATTCCCAAGTTGTGTCTTTATGAGATGAAACATGGATATTATATCTGGGAATCAGTAGGTAAACAAAACAAAATATCTATGAATATTAAATATCTCCCCAAAAAAGGCATGGTTTGTGAATCAGCTGTAATTACAAAGTGCAACCTATAGTATGAGGGGCCTGATGGGGGGGGTCTCATCACGATTCACGAGTTGATTTTTTTGTCAATCACAATTGACAGAAAATAAATTTCCATGATCACGGATCACGAAAATATAAAAAAAAAAAAATCTGTAGAAAAACCGATCACGATAGCGAAAATGCGCCGATCAAGAAGAACGAAAATAACCCATCAGGCCCCTCTAGTATGTGATCTTGGGCGGTTGAAGAAAAGTGGGTAACTTATTTGTGTAATCAACTCCTACTACAGTATTCAACACAGATCCCTAAAACTTGACAGGAAGGTTGCACATATGTTGAAGTTGTGCACCTGCTATAATGGAATTGTTTGAGAAATTTTTACATTTCATATATTCTCCATTGTTTAAGAAACAGTCTCTGTGCAACCCAGCAATCTGAGTCCTTGATCTATTTTTTTTATTGAAAAAGTAGACAAAATTAATCTTTTGTCTTTTACCGGTAAGTGTAGCTAAAAGACAAAATAAAGAAATCAACAAAGAAAACAAAATTTAAATGTTTTATATAAAGACTTTATATGCATGGAGTTAGATCAATGGATATCCTTTTGTGAATCAGACTGATGAAAGGCTTTAAAAGCTTTCAAGGCTTATTGTGACCTTCAACTTTGTCTAATGTTTGTTCATTAACCTATTAGATTTACTTAAAAGTAAACGAAAAGCCTTCTCAGACAAAAAGTATGTTTAGATTACATAACTAGTCTTACTGATTACATGTACAACATTGCTTGATTATGAATAATAACAGAGAATGGTTTTAATGTAAAAAGTCGGCAACCAACTGAATAAATGTTGGTTACAAATGCACCACACAATGAATACTAACCCATTATCATCTTAAAGAGGATTGTATATCAGCCTAAAACTAAAGAGTAAATACACTATTCATGGCGGGGACTTTGAGGATTAAAAAGCGGCAGTGGCAAATATTTCATGCATATCCATAATCATTGGGCTTGGAAAACATTAAATACTAATATACTATTTGAATTTCGATGTTGGCTAAATTATTAACACAATTCTTAATTTTAGACCAGTTATTCTCTTTTCCTTAGAAAATTTGTCCCCTCCCTCATTTTCTGAATTGGGATCCACTGCTTCATTGCCAAGAAAATGACAAAATTTCAGAATGGTTTTCTCTACAAGAGGTTTACTGGTAAAACTTAAGAAATTTCAGTACTAAAAGATTTAATTTGAGAACAGATTCCACAGTCATGAAGAGAAGAACTATAATATGTAGTTAGCTTTTATTTAAGAATTAGAGTGTTTGTTTAGAAAACTGTATAATCCATTGGAAGAACTTAGAAATTTACTTGCTTTCATCCCTGGTATCTTTACATATCAAGGCTTTCAATACAAGGCTTAAGTGTACTTACAATAACAAGAATCTTGAACAGTGAATTGATGTAATGTCAAACTTTGAAGGAATTGTTTTGTTTTTGGATATTGATTGATGGCATTCCTGAATGATTGTATGTTTGTTTTAGTGAGAGGAACATTTGCAAACTCTTGTCATTCAGATAATCTTACAAGTTCTGTTTTGAAATGTGATTTCTTCATCAGGTTAGAGGAACCTACTTAGTACTAGCAATGCTTTTACCAGTTGTGGGTGTATATATAAATAAGAAGATGTGGTATGAGACAACTATCCATCCAAGTCACAATGTGTAAAAAGTAAACAATTATAGGTCAAAGTACTGCCTTCAACACGGGGCTGTGGCTCACACCGAATACTTGAATACTTGTAATAAGGTCACTCTAATTTTTAGTTGTAATTTTTTTCCTGAAATGACTACTTTAGCAACCGATACCTAATATTTGATGAGAGGAAGGCTTATTTTCAAATTTTATTCTACAAAACTTCTGTTTTCAGGAGCAAGAATTGTGGGGCGAGTGATGACATTTTTATAATAAAAATTGTTGATTTCATTTAAATGGAATGGCAGTAAAAAAATGTCTTTTGATTGCAAAATTTTGGAGTCTGTGAATCTATGAATCAATTTGGAGTGGCCTTTTAAGCAGTTATCAAAGCTTCATGTGTGAATTTAAAGTTTACCTACCAGTTTAACCATGCTTATTGACTCGCGTAAGATCTGTTTAATCTTCCAGAAAGTTTGTATCTTAATAAAGTTGATGGTCCAATAAATTTGTACTATGAGTGTTCACTGGATGCTATGATAAGCTTATTATTGTTAAAATTTCTAGTAAGATTTATGCTGGTATGATATGTTTACGATTAACAGTGTGATTAGAAGTTTTTAGGATTAACTGGATGTGTGTTTATTACATGTTTGCAGTGCAAGGACTAAGCAGTCTCGTTTTTTTTTTAAAGATTATGTTCATACCGGTAATTGGAAATTTGACTGCAACCGATTTTGAAATTTAATTTTCTTTCCAGTTTACCTGTAGACTATATTAAAATACCTTCAAAATGGCCTTTCAAAGGTCATTTGAGAATAGTTGAGTATTATATAATTTTAACCAAGAAAAAATATGTTTGACAATTTGCTGTATTCTAACAATGAATTGAAGACGTAATACAATGGTGCATTCAAAACCATATTACATTCAAAGGCAAAAGATTGAATAAAAAGGTTGAAGTCAAATGAAGCTAAGTTAATAACGTTGAGGTCTTATTTACACCAGTTTGGAGTAACATTTGAATTGTTCAGTCATAGCGAAACATATGTCAGAGTGCTTTAATTTAACAAGTGAAGTTGACTCTTTATTCAAAGTTACAAGTTTATGATGGCAGATAAATTCCATCATGTTGTGATAGAAGCTCTGCGAAGGTAAGTGCATTGTAGATTTGTTTTCTGTTTGGAAGCAATGCAAATAAGTTTATATCTGGATCTTTTATAGCAATCTCTGGTCTAGTTGTTGCCAAGTGGGTTGCTGGCTTGAACCTTGATAGGTGAAACAGAAAAAAAACTAAAATGTTATGTGTATTTGTATACTGGTTAATCCCCTTCTGTCCATCATCCAATGAAATTTTTGTCAACCTTTCTCAGGAACTGCAAATCATAGCTTCCTAAAATTTGTTATCAAGCTTCATATGAGCATGTGATACTGTGTGAGGCATTTTCACATTCATAGTTCGTCAACTTCTAGTTTACCAAATACTTAAATATTCTAACATATAATGTCCATGTTTGCAATTTTCATCACATTTTTCTCTGGATTTGAATCACAGCTTCCTGAAATTTGGCATCAATGATTCATTTGAGTATGCTATACTGTGTGATGCATTGGTAACTTTTTGGAATAGGATTTAAAGTCATGATTGATTTTCTGGTAGACATAGTACAAATGGACCAACATCAATTTTCAGACACTGCATGACACTGATGAAATGCCTTTAAATTTTCATATTCGTAAACTAGTATGTTAAAACTTTTTATTTCTTTTTCAGTATCCATCAGCTGACAGAATCTGAAATAGAGGTAATTTTTTGTTTGCATTCAAGTTTGCCATAAATAATTCTTGATTCATCCGATTGAGAGTCAAATGCATGTGTATTTGTAAGTCTTAATGAATTTGCTTGTCATTCAAATGCATGTGCAATGCATTTAATGATTTGTTTGTGTTTGTCTTAATTGTGCAGTATTACTGAGAAGACATAAACAAAATGTATAAAAAAAAACTGTAAAACTTTGATAAAACTTGTGTTATTTCTGCTAAAAACAAGAGAAAACACAGGTTTAAAAAATATCAAGATGAAGGTTAAATTACTAGTTAGTACATAGAATAAGAAAATGTTTGGAAGAATTTGTTGTTTCTGAGTCTGTTTTCGATATATTGCTGTTCACTTGCACAAAATGAATCATTCACTCCTAAAATTGAAATTCATTGCAAAGATCCAGTAGCAATTTACAGTACATAAAATGGTTTCTTGTTATTTAGTTCTCAATTGCAGTGAACAATTCATTGGTTGTGATTTTACTGCAATATCGGTCAGGTGTACGAGGATGCACAATTTGGAAATAGGATTTTTTATAAATAATTTTTCTTTTACTGCAATATCACGTGTATAAGGATACATAATTTGGAAATAGGATTTCTATAAATAATTCTTCTTTTACTGCAATTTCAGGTTTATAAGGATACATAATTTGGAAATAGAAAGTCTATAAATAGCTCTCTTTATTTCTTTTTTTTTTGTTTTTTTGTCAAGTTTTTAGTACACCCTCGACAAGTCAATCTACTGATCCCAGTATGAATAGACTTATTCCTTCACATTTAAGTGTGAACTGCTTGAGTATTATAGCATTATAAACTTTTTATGTGAAAAAGATTTTTAAGAAGATCAAACACATGCTGTGTCAGAACATGCTTTTCATTATAGAATTAAAGTTGATAAATGAATTATGTTAATACAAGACAGATATCTTTTGGCAGATTTTCTCCTAATCTGACAGGTTATTTAGCACCTCATTAGCTTTTTTGTATCTTATACATGAAATTAACATTAGAAAACTACACTGCCACACATCTATTGATGAAGTTCAAAAGCTATATTTTTTTCTTTGATGAGTTTTTTTGTAGCTTATTCAGCCTAAAATTCTATTTTCTTGCCCTGCTGTGTTGAAATTTCATACATACAATTCTTTTTTTAAATTGTGCATTCCTTGTTAAAAAGATTATTTATATGATGATAAATTTGGGTTTTTTTTCACTCTTTGATAGTGAGGGGCAATATGTTATCCGATCTGTTAGTCTGTCCGTTTGTCTATCTTGTATCAGGTTTAAATTTTTGTATAAATATAAAAATTAGAAGATGTGGTAAAATTGCCAATGAGACAACTATCCACCAGAGATCAAATGACATAGAAGGTTGTTTACCATGAAATTGTAGTTATTTCAACTTAAAACTTAGTATGCATGTTCATATTGATGTAAAACAATAAGATAAATCAAACATCAGGACAGATATTGAAGATGGAAATTGGGGATCGTGTGCACAGAAGCATTGATATGTGTAATTTCATGAATCATGGAAAACATTTTTTTTCAAGCTTTAAAGTTACAATTTTACCTATATATATTTGCACAAACATCTGTGAATAACAATACCTTTCAATATGTCAACACAAAGACATTTCAAATTTCAAAATTTAACTGCAGGACTATCAAATTGCATGAAAATAACCCTGGCCTTTGCCACCCTTAGCAGGTTGATATTGTCTATACCTGCATAAATAGGATGTATTGTGCAATGAACACAATAGTAAAGCAGTTGTAAACAGATTGATTTAAATTCTTTATGGAAGGTCTTTTATGTATAAATATGTAATAATTGTGTAATGGAAATATTATGTATATAAAGTAAAAGGTTAGGAAATGTATAAAGCTTGACATATGGTATAGACACTTGACTATTGATAGAGTCCATATATGGCTTTATTGTGTTATTTGAATGCTGTCCAAGTGTAATATTACCAATATCTTCCTTTATTCATGCCTATATTTAACGATTACACAATCAAAATAATTTTGTTTCCTGCCTATCATTGTGGTAGTGTGCTTACCTTGAGATTTGGCATTCATTAAAGTCACTCATGGGAAGTATCAAAAGTGACCGCTCAAGAGAGGTGACCTTTTAAGGAGGCATGGTAGTATTTCCTGGCCCATAGGGATAATGAAAGCCTTTTTTAAATTTTCGCCACTTTCTAACACTGCCCAAAATTCTACATACACAGTTAACTGAAGTACTTTCATTATAATGTTCAGAAATTAATTTGAAAATGTATGATGACTGTTTACTTTTTTTGCTCTCTTTATAAATCAAAGGCCACTATTGCTTTTAGGTCTTTTATCATGCAGTGAATACAAAATTTTAAAAAAATTCTCAAAAATTCATTTTCACCTGTATGTAAAATTATTTCATATTTTTCTACACCTGATTAATCCCTCAGTTTGGGAAAGTATGTTCAGTTGATACTGTATTTTTTGTCCAATCATAATGTTCAGATACATTGACTTAAGTAGGGTACACAAAAGAGCAACCTAAATTCCTGAATGTAAATACTACCATGCCACCTTAAGGTGTAATACCACCATTATTTTTCCCCTATTAGTCTTTGTTAAATTTGCACTTTTCAAAAAATTGTGCCGAATTTATCTTTTATTTCAAGTAAAGAAATACTTGGCATGAATAAAGTTTTATCCTGTCCAGTACTACAGACAAAATTTCACATAACATTTCATTGCATATAAGATAACAAATTTCCACCCCTTTCTTTTCTGTTTACAAGAATTTGTAACCATGTAACCTCAAGTTTCCAAAATATTTTATAGAAACACCAAATAAAAAAAGAATAGTGCTTTTAAACACCCAAGATATATGTTTATGACTCAGAAATTTTTTACTGCAATGAAATGTAGGATTAATTTCATACAGCTGTCAAATTCATGGGAAATTTTTTTTTTCAACCCTTTTTCGTATGCAACTGGATGTGACATACTATGATTTGGTGGTATTACACCTTAAATGAGGTTCTGAAAAATAAAATCTGATTCCAACATTGCACATGGCCGGGATCGGGGCAAATTGTTTTAGTGTTTTGAATGGATAGAGTTATCATTCGTGCAAGCAGACAAATATAAAGAAACATTAGTAAATAGAAGTTGTAAAAAAAACATTTGTAATTTATATCCTACTCCGTTTATTGTCCCCCCTGCAATTCGTTGCTGGAGACATAGAAATACCTGGTGTCCGTCTGTCCGCGGTCTTGTTTGTGCTCTCTATCATATCTCTGTGATAACAGTTTATTATCAAATGTATATCAAAGGTTTATATCAGCAATATCTCGGAGGAGTTTGAAATCAGTGGCGATCAAATATTTTTAAAAGAGTTATGCCCCATGGAAACATTAATTATAGGGAAAATTGCATAGTTAGTGCTATCGTGTGTACAATTTTTGCCAGATTTTTATATAAGCAATGTCTTGGAAAAGTTTGAAAATCATTGCTGATCAAATATTTTTAAAACAGTGATGCCCATGCAAAAAATTAGTTATACTGGAAATTGCATTGTATTTGCTCTCATGCCTTCATACCTTATGAACTAGCATGAAAAAAATTAGGCTTAGGGTGTTGGTCTAGTACATAAGAGGGTTCATAATCATATCATATCAAATCAACAAATTATTATCCTGTTATCAATGTGTAACCATCTCAGTAGTAGTATGATCACCTTTAGTGTGGGCGCTCAGGGGTTCAAAACCCTGGCCGGGTCAATATAAAGACTGGTCAACCCGTAGTCAGAATGATATGTCCAGGTCTTCCTTTTGACTGTTGCCTTGTGAACTAGCGCCTTAAAAATCTAGCTTGGCATGTAGGTCTAGTACAAAGAAGGGTTAATATTCATATCACATTAACATGTTCTGGTCCTGAATATGCCACTGGACATTAAACAGTCATGTTTCAGCATCATGTTATCCATAAAATATTTTCCAGTGGAAGAATAACTATAGAGAACTGTAAACATGATCCTTATATATTCTTTGCAGAATAAGTTTACCAGTCTTTCATTAGCCTTCAAAACAGATAAATTGACTTTAGAGAAAAGACTAGAGATACAGGAAAGATACAGAGATTTATCTGAACAAAATGTCGACAAAGAAATTAAAGGTCTTAGGACATCTTTGGAGGTTTGTATGACTACAAGTGTGTGGTTCTTGGTTTGATGCGTTGTACAGTTTACTGTATCACACCTGTAGCCAGAGTGTACAGGGAGTTCATCCTATCCTCATGACCAAAAAATACTTTTATGTAAATCTATTAAAAAATCATAAATCTTTTGTGCTAGGATTTCAACGAAAAATCGAAATAAATACACAGTTCCAAATTGATATTTATAGAATTAGAAGAAAAAATATTGGTAAAAATGAAATTTTGTTAAAAATTCACAAATTTTAAGAAATATCTTTTTATGCTAGTATTTCAATTTAGATTTATAAAAAAAAATGGTTGACCAAATACATAAATAATTTGTAGGATTTTAACAAAACTTGATATTTATGTAAAAAAATATCCTGAATTACATCCTGGTGTCAAATTTTACGAAAAATTTGATACATCATAAACATGTACTGCTTTGCTTGTATCAGTATTAATTATTGTTTCTGTCTCATACAAATATGTGCAAACATGGCCATTCTCGAGATGTTCGTTCTGGTTTTTGAGAGATGGCTTTAAACAAATACATAAAAAATGAAAATGCAGAAAAGGTCCACAAAATAAGGCAAAAACTTAATTGCTCCAGAACTCTCTATCCCTGGGTTTGATTATAGCCTTTTCATAACTTGTTAAGAAAGATGTATTTTACAGTTATCAGTATCATTAAAAGTTCCTGTTGGTTTTCTGACAGTTATTGCCTCATTAGAATTTTCTAACAGTTATTGTCCCATTAAGTGAAGATAAAAGTCAATTTGGAAATTAGTTTGACTATTAAATGGGTGCATATCATTTTTATAGAAAAAATGATCAGTAATTCAAGTCTAATAGTGAAATGTTAACACCTTTTAACATCTCCTACAGAAAAGTAAGACATTTGAAAAGATTAAGTATCATATTATCATAGATTATGTAACTTTGATTTAAAAAAAAACATCTTTTTATGCTAGGTATTAAATGAAAATTGATATATAGGTATAATATGCTATTCCAAAGTGATTCCCAGTGTAAAAAATAGCCATCTGCTACCATTTTCAAAATAATTGACTTAAGGATGTACTTGGGTCAGGTTTATGAATTTTTGTCAGATGTTCGGACTTCTTGGGTTTTTTCAGACGATACAGGGTAAAATATTTTGCCCCATATCACCCACTTTTCTTTTCATAAAAGACTTAAATAGCTCATAAAAAGGTCATTACCAAATTTGAGCAGATTCTAGATTTTTTTTTCTTACAATTTGAAATCCAAATAATGTCAATGCTAAATATAAGGTAAAAGTTCAGTTCAGCATTTTCCCACCATTTTTTAAAAAATCAAATATCGCAAAAAGGAGTTCCATAATATTTTTAGCTTATTTTGTTCCTTTACTAATGCTCTTCTGACTTATAGTATCAATTTAAGGTTCTAGATTTTTTTAATTTTACATAACTATATCCTTGATACATGAAAAATTGTTTTGAAGAATTTATATTATCTTCTTCATAGACTATCAGCCAGTTACCAGAATGTGTGGATTCCCAAGTACAAGATGTATTGAAGAAGATCAGAAGACATATAGATGTGCTTGAACAGACTTCAACAAAAGTTTCTAGTAGAGCTGAAGTATTTGGTGCAGTTCAACAAGTAAGTATTATTGTTTCCATGTTTCCTTTATATTTGTGTAGGATTCTTAGTTTTCCTAAAAATTACATGAATAATACACTAGCTATCAACCAATCAAAATCGAAGTTCATGGTTCTTTCTGGGCACTCCGGCTTTCTCCACCAATAAAAACTGACCACCATGAAATAGGATATAGTGCTGAAAGTGGCTTTAAGGTAACACGATACCGAATGGCATATCTCCCAATTTCCAAACTTTTTGACACACGTGTTCTTTGAATCGAATTACATCGGAATATGTAATAAAAAATGGGGGTCACCATTTTTGTTTTCTTGGTATTTTGATAGGAATACGTCAATTTTGGCGACAAATTTACATTAGGTATATAGGAGAAATGGCTTTTTTTCGGCTTTCCTTTTTAGATTTTCCAATGGATGGATATGTTCTTATATACGGAGAAAAACAAAAAACTAACATAATATCCAGGATTGCATACTGAATCCATACACGTAAAAAAACTCATATGTCACCATCCTTGTTTTTGAGATAAATGGCTTCAAAGTTGATCGATATGCCTAGAATTTGACCGAAAACGTATGACGTTATTGAATACAGAATATAACGTTATTCCTACTCAGAGATATGGAAAACAAAACATGTGTCAGGATCTGAATGTTGTTTTTTTATTTTCATTTCCCCTGTCGGGTTTCGTAAATTTCCTAGTTATGCAATATGAAATTCTACTGATATAAATTTATTTCGTCCTGCACATGGAAATTTCACTCACATGAATTAACATTAATCTCGTCTGAATTTCACACCAAACGAGCATATACTTGAAACTTGCTTGAACTGGTTGGTTCCACGTGAATCTTATGATAATAGTTCATGCATAAATCAACGGAATTTGGTACACGTTGAATTCACGTAAATTTTTATAATAAGATTATTCAAATAATATCTTTATTCTAAATTTAATTTAAATCATGAAAAATACCTCCAAATGTTTGTAAAGTTCACGTGAAAATAACATGAAAAATTTCACGTGTGGTTCATTTGAATTACTGAGTTTTTAACTCCATCATTTAAGACAATGGTGGTGTCATCGCTGCATCCATGCAGAAATAGAGTACTTTAAAAATTTGATTCAGTTAACAGATTTATAATTGCTTGGTTTTTGATGGTTGTTTAACGTTCAGTGGCAAATAGTTCATGCATGTTCGGGACGATACAATACAATTTGGAAAACAGTTGTTTATAAAAGACAAATTTGATGCACCAGTCAAAAAAGGTTAAACATTCTGTTAGTTGTGAAAATTATGAGGGAAAATAATTATCCTGATAAAATACACATTCTAAAAAATAAAATAACAAAACTCAAAGAAAAATTCAAAACTTAAAAGTCCCTTATCAAATGACGAAATCATAAGCTCAAATACATCGAAAGAATGATAAACAGCCGTCATATTCTTGACTTGGTACATACATTAGTATAGTGTACTCTACGTGGTGTAAATGTGTGAGTTGGTTGGTTGAGCAAGTCGGACAAACCTTGCAAACTGTATGCAAAATTTCACAAAGTTCAACAGTCTGTCATTTGTGGAAAATTATTTACAAAACAAATCTTGAGATCATATATTCATTCTTTATAAGTAAAGCAAACCGCGAAATATAAAAGTTCCAGCTTGTAATTCCACATGTAGGAGATGTAAGCCGTAGTCTGTACACTGCGTTCCTTTTATATGTTATCAAAATGCCTAATCCAGCAACCTGTCATGAACAAAAAATAAAGAAAATCCAGACGACATGCGTACCTTTAATATGAGTAGTAACACCAGGTAAATAATTTAAACCTGAAGCAAAAAGACTGTAGTCCTAAATAATTAGCCGTATGTATAAACCCTATGTATATATGTCAAGTGCGTGATTGACGGTCGAACGGACACGGGTGAAACAATATGATGATATGTGCTCTATTGGAATTTTGGTGACAAAACATATTTTTGAATATGCAGTTCATATAATGGAATGGTAATTTGGAGATCTAAAATGAAGTAGCAGTGTAAGCAAGCTACCATTTCCGTCATTTTGTCTTTGGTGGAAAGTTGATTAATTGGCAATCTTACCGCATCTCCTTATTTCATTATGGTTTGAATTTTCTCAAGAAGAACAAAAGTTTTAAGACTTAACAAATATGTACTAAGAGACTGAAATGTTACTGTGATAATTATACTACACATACTTTCCAATTTAGGGGACCAACGTTTACTAAAACTACAAATTAGAAATAAAAAGATACACGTCCAATTAGCATTAGTCACAATTTTCTTGAGGTCTTTGGTTTTGATGTCGTTAAATGTCCAGATGTTGCTATCTTATAAATTGCATATCTCATATCTCCATTTATCATTATAACAGCCAACTTTTGTACAAAAAACATGTACCATATATTTTTTTGTTTTATTTGTACTTGTCCTTTTACAAATAAAGTCTCATGTTACCCCACTTCCATAATGAGCAAGCGGTCGATTGCTTTGAAAAAATTAGAGGCAATGATTTAAATTTTAACAATTAAAGTTATAAGTGACGGGTGTAAATTATAGGATTGATTGTTGGTTGCTTAACGTCCAGTGGCAAATAGTTCATGCATGTTCAGGACGAGAACAAGTTAACAATAAATACAATAGCTAGGTTTTGTAATAGAGGCCATCTGGGATGATGGTCGAGAAAATTTGGACTGACACTGGAAAATGAGGGTATATTGGATAGGGACAGACATTTTGTTTCGCAACAGGCCACCTACGGACCTCTCAAAGAGTTGTTTCAAGGGTTCTTAATGTTCAAAGAGCGTAGAACTCTCTTTACACGAGGCATCAGATTTAACGTCCCCATTCTGACCGGACGTGGCTGCAAACTTGATACATCCCGCACAGCCAAATGGACGCCCCACTTTGGAAGCATTTTCTGACTGCAGGTCGGAAGAAGACCAAGTGACCATATTTCTATTTCCTAGTCATCCTTGGGGTGTAAATTGTAGAATAAAAACAAAATATAAAAATTATGTACATTGTCAGAAATATAAAATTCAATGTATTTGTACTCACTACGAAACAAGTGGAAAGGTCGGCGAGTCTCGCTTTTCATCGTGTTTCTAAAGCTCGTACACATACATTTTATATTACAATGTACATATATATACTAGTATATAGTATATTTATCCACACAAAGAAATAAAAACACTTCTTTTTTACATGTATATAGATATACTTTTATACTTGTTCTAAAAACTCCTTTTAAGACTGTGAAACTCCTCGGGCTTTTCCTGACGCCTAGTATGTGAGCAATATGTCCCTCAGGGCCTCAAAAGGCAACTATGTTTATTCTCTTTCAGTCGTTTTGTCTCCGAACTTGTAAATGTAAATTATTTCCAACTCAAATCACACCAAAAAAACCACACTACCACCGAATACCCATGCAAGTGTAAATTAACACGAATATAAAATCTAAATGATTTCAAGATCAAGCTATTTCAGTCTCTTTCTGCCGTTTGAAAAATAATTAGTCAGTCGTTTGCTTGTAAATTTCGAGAGAAAAAAATTGTAACTGAACCAGTCTGACTAGAGCCAGCCCGAACTATCAACTTGCGTTTATAGACGCAAGTGGTTACTTGGAGCTGGCTTTAATCAGACTGTAACGGGACCTGAATTTTTTTTATTTTATTTTTGCCGAATCAAGTTCCCATGTATTTCTCAGCCTACGTTAACTTTCTCAGGCCTCATTCCGATGTTGATGTCTGCCCTGTGTAGACTTGGTCTATAGGGTTACAAAGCTAGCACTTTATTTTTAAAATGTTTCCGAAACTATATCGGATTTACTCTGTACAAACCAATGATTTTCAGAGACTGTTTACACTTGGAACATAGGGAAAGTTATTCGGCAAAATAAGCAAGTTAAACCACGTTTTTTACATTCCATACTAACAAACTATTTTCTGTATGAGTATCAAAGTCTGCTTATATTGTGCTTTTTCGCCTAATTCTATCCGTATTCTCATTCCGATAAATTTCCTTGTTCCATTTTGCCCGAGCGGTGTTTTTGACGACCATTTTAACATGAATTAATAGTTGCTTTTTCACACATCATCCCAAGTGTCTATAGATTAGATTTCGACTTTCAAAACAAAATTTCATGGCGATACGGCGCGCATCATGAATAAGTATTTATTGCAAAAATAAACCAAGAATAAAATAAAGTGTTAAAACTCAGTCTGTTATGCATAAAAACATATATAAGATAAATCGTGCAGATGCTTAAATATTAAAGAAACACAATATTTAAAAGTAAAGTAATACAATTTTAAAGGTTAACAATGAGCAGAAGAATTGCCGGAAAACGATAAAGCAATCTATGTCAAATAAGTTAACCGTTACGTATTGCATCAAAACTCTCAGCACTCTACATCTAGGGAAAGTTACCGTTAAAAATGTCACATAATGAATTACCAAAAATATTTTTTTTATTATTTAATCACATTGTGATTGCAGAACCTGCTGCATTGGCTTGTATGTGTGAACGTTATTCGATAACGTCAGGAACGATAACTTGTGGCATAACGTCATTCGGTATCGTGTTACCTTAATAATCAATCAATATTTGTTTTGAAATACTAGCTGGTTTGCTCACTTTATATAAGAACAAATACAGATATACAAATAAGGAGATGTGGTATGATTGCCAATGTGATAACTATCCACTAGAGACCAAAGTACAAGAATATAAACAACAATAGAACACTGTATAGCCTTCAACAATGAGTAAAACACTTACTGTATAATATGCTAGAAAAGGACTTGGCATGACACAATGAAACAAAAACTACAAACATCAATATTCGGCAGATGGCAAGAAATTGAAACATTGTTTTATTTAATTTGCCCCACGTTGATTTTGCTGTAAGCCTGATGTTTTAAAGAACTACTCTATATGCATGAAATTTAGTACTGGTATACTTTTTTTTAATTTCATAACAGAAGAATTTTTATTATCAGTGAAGATCAGATACATCATTAAAAGCACAGTTCCATTGATGTGTGGTTCTTTCAAAGTATTTAATATACTCATCTACATTCATCTTATTCCTTATTATACTCTTGCTCTAAAGAAGGTTGTATACTCCTTTCCCTCTGTCCATTAGTCTGTCCATCCATAACACATTTCTGTCTCATCCTTCTTAGCAACTACAACCAGAGCTTCTATATTTCTGGTTCCGAACTTCATATAGTAGGGTCTAGATGGGGGTATTCATTTTTTCATTCTTTAAACTTCTGGACGTTTTTTCTCTATTCTTAATTATTTTTTTTTTGCTCTTTATTTTGCACTTTTTGCTCATTCTCTATTCTGTAAGCCCATCCAGACCCTCATATTGGTAAGCTTAACTGTATGACACATTTTCAGATCACACACTTATCGACTTCCTATTTGCCACATGCATGTATTCTCTCTTCATTCATGCATATATATGTAGTAATTTTCTCAGCAATTACAATTAATAGCTCCTTCATATTTTGTTAAGTTTAATATTGGTAAGTTGAACTGTTTGCTTCCACATTGTTTGGTATATGTTTTTCCTTTCACTCAAAATCAAGAATGAGAGTATGAATTAGTGATTAGTAGCTTGCAGTACATCTTATTTTCTTAAAATATTTGGACTTGTGGGTGTTTTGCTGATTTCATTTCATTTTCTATTTTAACAAAAAGAAATATGAAATATGATCATAGAAAAATTGAATTGTATATATAATTCCAGGAGAAAAGAATGAGTAAAGCAATAGAAGTGATGATAGCTCATGTTGAAAATCTAAAAATGGCATATGAACAGGAACATAAGGAACTTGAAGAAGCTAGGTAAGGCCTTATAAAATGTGTAGATTTTCGAATCGGTCAGATACCTCTTTCTGTTTGACCAATACTTAAAATTTTTAAATATGTTGAATGGGCTTCAAAATTTTCGTCACACATGTTTTCCAGTACATGTATTGCTGAGCAGGATGACTTTATATTTGGTAAGCAACTTGACAGCATCAGATCTGTCAGACACCTACTTACTGATACTTTGAATTATGAGTTGGGGTATGCTTAGCATGACATCACATTCATTCTTGATCACACATGTACATTATCTATAAAACAGGAGGAGGCCTCGGTTGCCGAGTGGTCTAAGTATTTCAACAACTGTATCGCTAGCTTTTCAACACTGTGAGTACGGTACAAACCTAGCACATGGCAGTTGCCTTTGACTCCAATCTTAATTAACTAAGATTGTCAAGTTTCTCTCCAAGCACCTTGGATTTCAAATTAAAACTGTCTGTCATAATAGAGCCAGAAGTGCTGAAAGTGGTGTTAAACACCAACAACCAATCAATCATTTTAAAGCAGGAAGACTTCAAAATCTGAAACATTTAAACAAATCCATTATTACTACTGTGTATTCTCTATGGTTTGAAAACTAAGATTTAATGCTTTATTTTCCAGGAAACTTATTCAAGATGGTCGTCCATTTGGTCACACTTTCGATTCAGGTATATTTTAATATGAATTCTTTTGTTTACTTAATTACATATTCATGTGGCTATAAACAAACCACAACTTACCAATTCCTTTAAAAGTTTTTAACATGATACAATAACAGTATAATTTCTGTTCTATAGGGGTTTAACCCAGGGGTTTTTCTTCACCACTTTAATTCTTCAATGATGAAAGAGTTAGAGAAAATTGATATACATGTTAGATAGAAAATATTTTTAAAAATTAATGATGTGTGTTACCAAATAAGTAAGAAAAGCATCTTAGCTATGGTAACCTATGCCTTTTACATGCATAACAGCTAACATAAACCACTGAAAAAAATCATCCATTAGGTATTTTTTTCAACAACAGGTCATCTTTATAAATTTACATGGATTTAATTGGATTTCAAATTGAACTGGCCAATTGTCCAATTCAGAAAGCGAAATATTGATTTTTATTTCATTTTTCCTGAATTGGGAAATTAAATTCACATAATTTTTGGGGGGGCGGCCCTAAACTATATAGTAGAAACATCCCTGAAGATTTACATGTTAGACAGAGAATATTTGAAAAATCAATGATGTGTGTTACCAAAATAGTAAGATTTAAGGAAAGATTTACATGGTTCAAGTATTTAGAAAAATGCCAAGCAGTCATCCCTTTAAATTCTTAGGTCGTATCATTTGGCCCTTGGAAGCCTATATAAGACTTAAGTGGAAGTGAATAATTCCTTCAAAAAGTAAATTCCACATCCAGGGGCTGATCCAGGATTTTAGGTTAGGGGGAGTGCAAACTTAAATTTTTTTGAGGTAAAATTATCGAAGTATTCTGTATTAAGCTGAGGACAACCTGTGCTTTGCAAATTTAAAGGGGGTGTGCACGCCCAACAGGCAACACGCCCCGCCTGAATCCGCCCCTGACATATCATTGTAAAACCTTAAAGTTTATACCTGTGACCACACAAATAATGTGATTTTTTGTTCTATATAAAAAAATAAGGATATGTGGTATAATACGCCATTTCCAAATCTAATGCACTATGGGTAATATATTTCGAAAGTGTACACCAGAACGTTGTGATTGACTAACAACATCATTAACAAAGGAAATTCAACCAATGGCATAACATTGTTTTCATTTTGGGGTAGGAACAATGAAATTACCCATAGTTCTTTAGATTCTGAAATGGCCAATTGCCAATGAGACTACTATCCACCAGAGTTCAAATGAGGAAGTATAAACAATTAATTTTCTGTACTTTCAGATTCTGGATTTGCTTCAAGGAGGTCTGCATCAGTTTGCCAAGGAATTGGTGGTTTAGGAACAAAAGTAAGTCATTCCTTTGACTATCAGTGGCATAGGGGTGGAATATTTCTTCTTAAGCCTAAACCTGTGCCTAGTTCATGTCACTTGGCTTTTGAGAGAAGTCAAATTATAATTTGTATAAATGATAACCATATGTTGTCTTAAAATCATAAAATTATCTGTGTGAGGCTTACAAAAAGAGGCTTGTGCAGCATTTTGATTTTTATTGCAAGCAAATTTAAGATTTAGAGAATATAGGGTTATTCTTTTTAAGCTGAATCAATATTGAGAGGCAAAATCATGAATGTTGGACATCAAGTGGAAGCTGTGAAAATTTTATTCCTTTTGAACATTGTGAACATAATGTTTACACCAAAATAAAACGAATGCAGATAATTTACAAAAATGCACAACAATAGCATGTATATTATGTGCTCTGTAAGGGTAATATACACTCCACATGTTTCTTTTATATTCCTTTCACAAATATGAATGCAGTTTCTGGGAATAGAAGAACACATTGTCAGATTTACTTGTAATATCAAACTGAGGAAAGTGACTCGACCTTAGTTTTCAACACATCCTCATGTTGATTGCTGTGGATTCATTATTATACGTATTCCTGAAGCAAATTTTGTGGATTTCATGGATAAAGGTAAACAACAAATTCATATCGTAAACGAAGTAAACAGGTTCTACAGACTTTGTATACTAGTTTTCCTCAATTTTGGTATCAACGAAAATGTAAGAATTCACAGTATTAGGCAATCTATATGATTCTTCATGTAATTTCTTTTATTGGGTTCAAAGATAATAAGCATGAGGTTGTATAGATAATCAGAATGAGGTCAAGTTCATCCAACGTTCAATCTTTTTTTTATTCTAATTTTGGTTATTTTTCAGACAGCCAGACGGAGAGTGAGCGAGATTTCTGGTCCAAGAGTAGGATCCAATGGAACATTATCCCATTCTATGTCCCTGGTAAATATCACTACCATAGCAATCAGAAATAAAAATTTTAACAATTGCATGATTGTAAATATTTATAACCAATTCAAACAAAATATGATATATACTGAAATACCTTATTACCGTTTTTGTGATTAGCATTTTAGTAGGTATAGAAATAGGTTAGGATGTGATAAAAAAAAATTCTTAAAGGTGATGATTCAGAACATTCAGAAGCTTACTGAATGTTTAAGTACAATAGAATAATAGCCACACAACAAAATGCTATTTTTAAAAGTGCTATATATTCTATGCATTATTTAACAAGAGAATATGTTATTTCCGCCCATTTAATCAGCACATAGTAGCATTTTTAATGTTATATATATACACTGAACAGCATGTTTTTAATTTTTGTCCATTATAAAATTCTCTGTTTTCTCAATATTCTCCTATATAGCTTGTTCTTTAAATTTAATTTTTATATCACATGCATTTAACTTCTCTGTTTTCCACATGTGTTCTTCCCTTTTTTAAAGGTATTTTAATGATGTTGAACTTATGACTTGGTAAAATTTGAAATAATGATTTTTCGTTATTATTGTTAGCCAAAAAATCTAAAAGATTACAGTAGTAGACAGGTAAAATGGAATGAGTTTTGCACTAAGAATTGATCTGTTAAATACGTTTGATAGCTTTGATATTTATATTATTTACACAGGCCACATCAAATTTATAAACTTTTATCAAAATTTTTTGTTTTACTTGTCCAAATTTGCAATAGATCAAATACCATATAATAATTATACATATTTACGATGCAGTCCGGTAAATTCGCCCACATAAGGCTTTGATCGTATGTATTTCTGCTTAATTATATACAACTTGTATCAAATTTAATATAAATCGATTCACTGACAAATCAACTTTGAGTAGTTTATCTCATTTCCCAAAAAATATCTGAAATAAATTTTAAAATCAACAAAACAAGTGGGTCATCCGTGTTTTTATCGGAAATGTGTTTGTCTGGTAAATCCGCCCATGCTCAGTAAATATGTATGGTGGGTCAGTTTATCACAAAGTTGTGAAAGGAAAAGGTGATCTATTTATTAATAGACCACTTATAAAGAGATTCCAGATAATAAAAAAAAAAATTTCAAGTCAGAAATGAGTTTTGTAAGCAATAATATGATTATCCTTAGCTTTAGGAACTGTATTATATATATCACTAGAAATTTTTCGTAACAAAGGATTTTTCTTTAAAATTTTACATGCAGTGATGATAAGTACAGTTTCTATGAATAAAATAGCAGACGAAATATTCACGGAAGTGACAATTACGGAAGAAATGGTAGTGGGCGGGTTTACCAGACGGGCAGAATTACGGGACATTACTGTATGTGTCTTGAAAAGCATCTTCATTGGATGAAATAAACATTTACTCTTATCAAACTATAAAAAATCCAAGAAATTAAAAACTACTTTTTAGAAGGGGCTAGTACAAATACCCCCCTTATTATTTTAAAAGGAGAGGTGTGTACTGTTATACCTCTTCCTGTCTGTCCATCCCCAAAAAAATTTGTAGGATTATTCTCGGGAACTGCAAACCAGAGCTGCCGTGAAATTTGGTATCAACCTCCATGTGAGCATTGTATGCCATGTGATGCATTTTCACATTCATTGCTCATCAACTTCCTGTTCCCAAATACTTACTGGTATATATTTTTACACATAAATGCGATGCAAGAAATTTTCATTGCTTTTTTCTCGGAAACTACAAATCAGAACTTTCTGAAAATTGGTGTCAAAATTTATATGAGTATGCTGTACAGTGTAATGCATTCTCACATCCAATGCTTATCAATTTTTTGTTAAGTGAATACTCATATAGTTCAGTATCAAATTATCAATAAAATAGGAACTACTGATCAGAGCACTCATGAATTTGGTATCAAGCTTCATGAGAGCATGCTGTACAATGAGATGTGTTTTCACATCAACTTCCTGTTTACCAAATGTTAATAGCAGGGGGTATCATTAGTGAGCTATAGCTCAAAATTCAACTTGTGTTTATAGTATAGTTTGATAATAATTTTGAGACTAAATGAAAATTTTTTGGTGAGACCTTGATGACTGACTTATTTTTTTGATAAATTTAAGGCGCATTAAAATAAAATCATCAATAGATTTTTACAGGGTATATGGTTTTCACTTAAAATTTGGTGAAATTATTGGATATAAGGGTTTCAAAAATGAAATATATTGCATGTGTGTGTGTGTGTTCACACTTTTATATTCAATAATGGATTACACTAGCATCTTGGTATATTATATGAGTGTCACAAACAATTTTTTTTTTTTTTTGCAATAGTCCATATTGGTTGTTGCTTAATGTCAAGTGGCAAAATCAGTTAGAAGTAATACTATGTACTTTTCAATATTTCTTTGCATTCTTTTTTATATTATTGTTTGAAGGGCTATTCCAGAAATAATTATATTTGGAAGAGGGGTCAGAATGCATTTTTTTTTTATCCTATTATGCAATAGAAATGATTATTTCCCTTTTTTGCTAAGGCTGATCTTCAGAACAACTATTTTGGTCAATTTGTGGATTCATTTTTTTTCATGAGAACCAATTTTCGTGGATTGAGGAAAAACTGTTTTTTCTTTGATATTAATTTTCGTGGTTTTGCCATGGTCTGGTTACAAGCTTAAAGAAAAACTGTACCTCTTGGAACATTTAAATTCATGGTTCACTTATAACCATGAAATCGACAAAAATTGGTATCCCACGAATATTGATGAATCCACAGTTGCAAACATTTAAATCAAAGTGTTGAAAACCTATTTTTCTGGAAAAACCCTTATATGCAATGTTATAGATATTCATATATTTAAATTTATGCTTTGCAGACTTTATTTTGATTAAAGATTTTTCATCTGACAAAAAGATTTCTATTTTATGGAATTTACAGGACTTTTAAAATTTGTGAAAGCATCCCAGGTTTACTGAATCTTATGGCAATTGAATTTTGAGTAGAACTAATTTCACACAAAAATTGTAACAATTGAATAGTTTCCATTCATATGTTTGAAAATAAATACATTCAGATGAAAATTCTTTGTAGCTTTGTCTAACACATGTATTTAACAGGCATGTCAACTCATATATGATCTTGAAAAAAATTACAATTTATGAACGAAGTTTTAAAGGGCTATTTAGCCTGGGCATAGTAATGATTTGGTCATTTTGAAGGTATATATGAGTTGACAAGCCACAGTAGACTTAACACTAACTTTAGATATGCATGATTGTATTGTTAGGACTTGATTGATACACGGTTGGGACTCAGGAAAGATCCAAGGGATGATGAGGTAAAAATGTATATTCTTTACTTCAAAATATTGTTGAAAAAATTGCACATAGGTTTTAAATGACATCATGACAGATTTTACAAACCAAGTTAAAAATATAGCAGATAACTAAAATTTAGTATAGGCACTTTCATTTAAAAGGGTTACCAGATGTGTCTTTTTCTTCTTTTTTTTTTCTTTCCTTCTATGTTGACAAATATAAGTGCTCTTTTGGTAGAAACAGTGTTATCTATTTGTATACAGATATCTAATGGTTTGAAATGTTCATCATACCACATGCCAGTTATCCTTGATCTCATTTTCAAATGATTATTAAAATCAACTTCAAGTTTGTGTGATTAGATGAACTTTATGATTACTTTAGATAATGGGTCAACCTTAAAAGTATGTTTGTGATTAGATTTTATAGATAAAGGTTAATGTAATTGGTTTGTAGAAATGTTAAAGGTCGAACATTTTTCTTTTTGACAGGGTTCATTTGACCCTTACCTAATTTTCATGGGTACAGTTATTAAGGCTTCTGGAATGTGGAGAGTTTCTTTTTAGTTATTAAGTACTCTGAACTTTGATTGGTTGATAGCTAAAATATTTTTCAGGTATTTTCGTATTTAAGTAGATAATTGTTATTCATATTTGACCACAGCAAGTGTATACAAACAAGGATATCTCTTTTTTTTACCATCTCTGCCATCTTTTTTTTTTCTAAATGTATATGCCTTTTTTACCATTCAAAGAGACACTTGATCATTAATTTTATGCACTTTAAATAAAATGTGGTTGTTTTTGCTAACGTCATACCAAAAGAATAGTGGAATTAAGTTTTGAATGTTTAACTTAACCATCTCTATATTCATTGTATTTAAACAAATATACATATATCATGTACAATGCATTTAATTGAACAGCGAAATGTTTGTGTTGTGTAAATTTCACAGCAAAATGTCTACGGTGAAAATTAAATAATTTACAGTACATGTCTTTTAATCGTCAACTTTCCTCACAGGCAAGACAAAAACCATGTAATTAAAATTGTGTTTAATTGATTTTACTACTAGTGTACCAATTTTATTGTCATTTAAAGTTAAATAATGTTTATGGCCAGTTACTTCATTACAACAGATACCAAGATTGAGGTTTTGACTAAATGTATGATTTTGGTAAAGACGACATGTATTTATTTATTACTTTTTAAAATTAAAGGTTTATCAGTAGATATTACCTTTATGAAATAAAAAGTTGATAGTGGATATTTCCTTATTAAAATATAACAATGAAAGTGGATATAAGTAGATTGCATTTATTTAAAGGGAGTTAAACAGGAAACAATCAATCAATCAATCAATCATTTTATTCTAGGATGCAAAGTCAAAGTTCCAGAATGTTATAGCATCTACTGTGATGAAAAATTCAGTGACGAGTTCACTAAGGACAAACACTAGCGACAGACTATCTCTGAGTTCTAGAGAGCCATCTACAGAAGGGTAAGAATTATAGTTAATATATGATCTAAACAAAAGTGAAGTTTTTCAATGAATGTTACCCCTTTTGTATCCTATCCCTCTTGGGAGCCTCGGTGGCCAAGTGGTCTAAGTAGTTACTACTGTAATCACTAGCCATTCAACACTGAGGTTTTGAGTTCGAACCCCGCTCGTGCGGGTGCACTTGACTCAAATCTTAATTGACTAGGATTGTCAGTTTTCCTATCGAAGGTTGGTGGTTTTCTCCGGGCACTCCGGCTTCCTCCACCGATAAAAACTGGGCGCCACAAAATAGCCCAAAAGCTGTGCTTAAAAGTGGCGTTAAACACCAAAAATCAAATCAAATCTTATCCCTCTTTTTGATAAACCAAACTTTAATCTTATAATTCGTTTTTCACCATTTGATTTTTGGACATGGAGTGCAAGACAGATTTATAGTAACGTTTGGTTGGCTGGAGACTGTATAAATCCACTTTTCATACAGTTTAAACACTTTACCTGCAAACTTTCCAGAATGTTAGTATATATATTGAAGATGTGCACCTCAATTTGTGTACATATGGATAATTTTTTAAGATTTTCCAGATAATGAGTCATTATTTTCAATGTAGGTTGTCTATTTTCTAAAATCAACTGCTTCTACAGTTTACAGAGTCTTCAAACTTTGTAGAATGTATGTGTATACATTGAAAATAGGCATTTTGTGTACATTTTAGAAGAATTTTGGTATGTTTTAGCCTTTTATCCTGGGGGATTGAAGTATTGGTTATTTGTAGAAATCACTAGATTTTCCATTTTCTTGATGGCATTCAAATTTATTCTCCTTGGAGCATTTCAAATACTTGTACCATTACCAGTCGTATGGCATTTAAAATTACAAATTATAATTATTAGGACCTAGGTATTAAGTCTTTGGCCTGCTTTCTATATCAAGATTCTTCTCTACCTATTTACAAGAATTGCTGTAGATGTTTTGCATGTTGGTTTAAGCGGTGATTCCAAGACATTAAAAGAATTTAAATGCAGGTTATTTTATGTAAATTTGCAACAAGGAAACAAGCCAAGTTCAGCTGAATTCTTTCAGCAGTGGCGGATCCAGAAATTTTCATAAGAGGGGGCCCGCTCCAGTCATGCTTCAGTGATTCCCTTATTAATCAACCAAATTTTTCCCACAAAAGGGGGGGCCCTGGCCCCCTGGAAAACCCTCTAAATCCGCCTCTGTTCAGTTCCATGTACATACATTTTCAACTTACTTGCCCTATCCCTAGCAATGCAGTGAGGCACTCTAGTAACAAGAAGAATTAAATGTTGTATCATTATGGCCACTACATAATTGACAGTTATGGTATTGTTGTATTCGACATTACCCAAGGTCTCCTCATTTCCACATAAAGTTAACTTAAATGATATTTTTCACTATTTTTACAAAGATTTAAAATCCCTTCTTCTATTTCTGGTCAAAATATTTGTATACCATAAAGTATTAAAATACAATGCTTTGAAGTGACTAAGTGACTGTTAAATAACAGCATCACAATAGGTAGTTGCTTTTCATAAAATAATAGAAAATAGTGATTTATCAAAGACTCTTTTATTTATTTCCAGAGAGAGGTCTTTAACAGTTACAAAACAGAATTCCAAAGAAGAAGAGGCATTTCAAAAAGGGTATGCTTAGATTATAAAGCAGGAATCTTTTTCAATTGAAGAAATAATAGTTTTCTCTGTCTGTTAGCCATTCTGACAGTTTAAATTGAAGTAAACACAGCTTGATACAACTACTTGCTCCATGATTGGTACTTTTGCATGAATAAATTGTCATCCCGCCAAAACTGTTGATTTGGAACTAAGAAAATACCCTAATTACTATTATCTGTGAACACCAAAATGTTTGTAGTTTCAATTAAACATAATAACACATTCATTGTTTATCATTACTAAATTAACTGTCTATGTACTTGAGACTCTGTGTTCTCCCCAGAATTTTCAAATAGCACCATGGAAATTAACATAGCACTGGTTTCCAAAAAATATTGCACCACGGCCCCTATACATTCTATTATAAAATCCTCCAAGATAGCATCATGGTAGAAAATATAGCACAGGGGTACCACAGTGCTTTAAGGCCCTGGGGAGAAAACTGAGTCTTGAGTAAGAAGAAAATAGGAACAACATATATTTTTGTATTTTTTACTTTGAATAGATCTTTTTGATTAAATTCAAAATTGATAGAGAAAAAGTCATGAATCCTAAAAAAATATGTAAATCAGTCGTCTCATTTTTGTCATGTCTTTCATAGGGCATCCATTTGAATTCTCAATATCGAAATAAATATTTGCTAAAGATTAACAATGTTTTTATATTTTTTTAAAAAATGTATAAGATAGATATAAACTCTGAATTTGAATTCTGAAAATGTGACTGTTAATCTATTTGATATATTTTTCTTCCTAATTGAAGGGAATTTTTGATTTCTTTCATTTGAATGCACTTCGATAATGATATCCTTTGAATCACTGAAACATTAATTGAATAATTGCTAATGAGACAACTATTGATTAAATTCCAAATGATGTGGATTTAAAATAGCTCTGACAAACTTTAAGGTTTTATAAGACTGTTTAATAGAAGCACATCATTCTGAAATTTTAAGGTATTAAAATCAGTTGTTTATTGCTTTCATTAATATGGTTGTATCCTTATTTTAAGACTAATAAAGGACTGAAATAAAAGATTTGCACATGCCCTCTCAGCAAAAATATTTTTGGGGTTCTGAACAGTGTTTTTTTATTGCAGATTTGAGCAAGGATATAAAGCCCTAGTTGGACGTGACTTAGCCAATCTAAGAGAACAACAGAACAATGTCAGTAACACTCTGGAGAACATCATGGATGAAGTAGAGCAGGATACTGAACAAGAGGAAAAGTAGGATATCAAAACAATGGGAGATAACTCTGTTGATTAAATCTTCACCAGCTTACTTAAGTTAACTTATACATTCATAAAAATCTTTAAGTCTTGAATAAAAAATTTCAGGTTTTGCAGAAGAAATGCTGAATTTGAAGAATTTCAATTGAAAAATTATGAAATGAAAAGGACATGATCTTATGCAATCAAATGCCATGTTGAAACCTTAAATTGTTTTAGTTGAGATTAAAAGTGTCTCATGTTTTCAATTTATTTTAAGAAGTAGACTTTTAATAAAGCAAAATCTGTTTACATCATTTTATGAAGTTGTTGAAGATCATAATGTGGAATATCACATATGTTTTAAATACTGTAGATATATTTATTTTCCTGGATTGAGGAAAATTGTATTTCATGTGGATACTTGATTTCATGGTTTTATCATATTCTGCATACAATACTACCTGCTTATAGTAAATTTATATTTTTGTAAAACACCTTGATTAGTCTTTCACTTTTACACAAAAAATCTGTGCTATCTATAACAATAAGGTGATGTGGTATGATTGCCAATGAGATAACTATCCTTCAGAGACCAAAGGATGAGGATGTCAACAACTATAGGGGACTGTAAAACCTTTGAACAAGCAAAACCAATATGCTATAAAAGGCCCAGTCATGAAGAAAGGAATCAATAAAAAGAAGAAAATAAGAATCTACAATAAAAGTGAATTGTACAAAATTGAAGTGCGTGTGTAGGATTTACATTCTTCTGGACTGCATACAGTCAATACTGTAGAAAGCCACCAATATATAAATAAAAGAGGAAATCATATAAACGAAACTAGCCAAAATTATCTTTGGTCAGCTTTTCTTGAGGGAATTGCTAACTTAATTTTTCAGCTCTTTGCTTTATGTTGTTAAAAGTTCAATATACCATGCAAAACAAAGATATGAAGTAGACATTGTCCTTATTGAAATTTTGCTTACTATCAATTTTGTTTTTACAGGAATTTATCAGACACCATAAAGGAGAAGTTTTGGGAGAATGTGCCATCGTGGGACGTAGCAAGCAAGAAACTAAGAATGACCATGGCTGGTTTCGTGTTCTTTATGGCATTATGTAGTATTGTGTTGTCCTTCTTTCCTTATGGACAAGCTGCTATGCAAGTACAACCCCAGTACAAACACATGGGACAGCCTCCATCGTGAATCAAATCAATTTTTATATTGTTGGTTTTTTAATGCATATCTGTTATGTAGTAACTTGAGGAAACTCTAGATGAATCCGTTTTGGAAAAGTAATTTGATACCTCGTTTCCGAATATAACGGTACAAGCATTTGGATTTATCTTTTTTGTTGAAGAAAATTGATGTTTCCACCAAGTGTCACATCTAGGGTTTCCAAAGTAACTAGTAATTTGTTATTAATTACTGTTAACTAAAAACCCTCATCTTGTTCCGAAAATTCTTTCAAAATAAATTTTTAAAAGCTGTTTCCATCCTCCGTAAAATATTTCTCCCTAAATACAAATGTGTTGATAACCTTAAGGTTAAGAATTCATATTTTGAAAAAAAAATTATTCATACTATAAAATTAAGAATTCTTTTTTTGAAATAAAAATTATTCATACACTAAAATTAAGAATTTCCTTTTTAAAATAAAAATTATTCATACAAAAAAAATCAGATAACTGCCATTTACATATCTTTGAAATTGTTGCATCAACAAACATTTCCACATTAAATAATAATTAAATTTAAGAGTTTCTATAATGATAGTTTTTTTTTTCATTTATCAGAAGATATCTTTGATTCAAAATGTTATGAGACAAATTGAATCTAATGTCATTTTTTTTTAAAAGTTTATAAATGTGAAATAATATTTTGATAGTTAACATTTCGGTAACATAGATAAGGGGGACACTTATTGTGAATCTTGGTGAAATAAAAACAGCTAATTCACTTCCCTGACCAAAGTGTAGCAATTTTTCTTCATTCCTCATACTTCATAGATTTTCAATCAGTTGCATTGTCATAATTTTTTTTAAATCGGTTCATCGAAATTATTTTCTTTAACCTAATTCAATGAAAGTAAGTTTTTATGAAAAACATATATTGAAGAATAAATGGTATATTTGGACACATTAATTTCTGTGGTTACTACCTATAAGATGTAAAGTGTTTAGCACTGCAGATAATATCACCATGTAGCTTAATAAAATCCTTAAAATTTTTGAATAAAAAAGTTCCCAAGTTAATTTTTATAACCAAATATATTTTTATTGACGGGAATGAAATACAATATTTCTATTGAAAGTAGTCTTTTTTTTCTAAAAAAAATTCCCTGCACTTGAAGGTAAATGATTTATTTGATTGAAGAAATCCTTGAATCAGAAATTAAGATCTGTTTATATATTTGCATAATCAGAAAAAAAACTGTCATAATTCCATTGATCAGCCAAACAAAGGATGCAAACTGCCAAGTTTGATATTTTTATAATTTTATGTAATTATGTATATTTTAATGTCAAATGTCTCAAATGTTATCTGTTTAAACAACTGTGATATGTATTTTATTTTCAAAGTTCTATAGAAGCTGGTTATAGTGATATTTTTTAAGGAATTGTTTCATACATTTTTGTGGTATTTATTTCGTTGTTAATCTCTGGAAGATGAAGAAAACATTTTGATGTTCATACTTTATGTTGGTTTAACTGCAATTAGCAGTACTGGTATTTAAATTTGTATGATTAAAATTATGTAAGCCAAGAGGTCTGCATTTTCTTTGTTTTTTGTAACAGGCCTTTTCAGTTTAGGACCATGTTGATATATAGCAAGCCCAGATAGATTTGTTCTGCTTGCCCACTCTATTTCTCCGATATTAAAACACTAATTTGTTGCGTTCATTATATAGAAGTAACTATAAAAAATTTGTATGTGCAGTATAGTTAATGACTTCATTCATATTTTTTGAAAACATCATCACTCTGAAAATGACCATTTAAGGCTAAAAGAAAGGTTACAATAGTTCATGATTCTAAGTCATTTCACTTGTTGTATAAACATTTTGTCATCATTTCTAAGGGCATTGATTTAAATATAATACTAGAAGATGTATCCACCTGACCCATTCCATTACTTTAATAAGAAAAGGAGAAGGTATGATACGGCAATTTTTTGGCCCCAAGAATTTGAATATCAAAACTTTTAAACTTACATAATTATGTAACTATCAAAAATTAGTTCATAAGTTTACAAGACGTTAGTCTGACCAATATGTGTATTCATATTTTTGAATCGTTCTTAAGGGGTTTAAATTTATTGTATTCAATGGATATCTTCAAAAACTGCCAAAAGTAGCCTCATTTCGAGATCTTTTCATTTATATTTTGATATGCGTCACAGCCTTACCAAGAATGTTATTTTGCTACCAAATATATTCTTCAAAGATGTTAGTGTTGGTAAAATGTCCTTTTGAGTAAGGCTGTGGCTCATAGATAATTTTGCAATGAACTAGATACAAGTATTAAATAGCCATTTTAGATCCACTTTGGCAATTGTGACATGTTCATGACATTATAGTAACATCTTCTACTCTCAAGTCAAGATTATAACATCCTATTCATTGTAGATAGAATGAAATTGATTTTAAAATTATTAATAAATGTTGACAATATTTTTCAGTTTAGGTGTCAGATAATGAATCGTGTCATACCTTTTCCTTTATTGAATTAATGGTAATTGTCAGTCATCTGTTCCACTGTTATTAATTAACATCTTTAATTTAAAGTTTATAGATTGTGGTTAAAAACAGAAGTTTTTGAAAAGTAAGCCTGTCCAATATTTCCTCTAGGATAGAATTTGAAAAATACTCCCATATAATAAATAGGATTATTACCATATATTTTTTTGTAATGCATTGGTACATCATAATTTTGGACTAGTGTTTGAACATTCCCAAGAAAATAATGTACTTGAAATACAAGTAACATGTTTTAAGTCTCATTTATTCACTGTCTTTCCTTCACAATGAATTGGGTTCATTTATTTTGGGTTGGAGAAAAATTTGCTTAAGGTCCTCTTCAATAAACTATAGAACTCAAAGCTTACAGAAAGATCAAGTTGGTCCAAAGTGGCAACTTCAGTGATGATATCTGATGTTCATTGATAACTGGCACATATATCTCGGTGCATTTTTAAAATTCAAAATGATGGGCCCAATTTTTTATGTAATTTTTAATTACCAAGAATAGAACCAATGATGCCCTCTTCCGATCCACCAATGTATCTTGAAAGTAATTCTGCAGGAGTAATCAATACATGGTATATGAATTATTTTTATCATGCTACATCTGGGTGAATCTGGTATCTTTTGTTGTCCTATACTGTTTTGTTTTGTTTTTTTGTCTAAAGATGTTACTTTCAAGTTTTATATCTTAATGTTAATAAATATCTATTTTTACATATGTATCTTGTTTTTCGAACCCATATTAGGACAAGACTGTTGAATGAGCAATAAATAGGTGTCAAAACAATTGTATGAATTATTATTTTTTACTTCCTTGGCACTAAACTTTATTAATTTTCATCAGTAAGGGTCTAGAATCTTAATTTATTACGTTTCTGTCTAATTTTGTGACCTACTTTTTGCCTTGACTGCAAAAAAGTCACAAAATGCAAGACATTTGGATGCTAATCCATCAACAGGGTAAACTTTGTAGAAAGCTTTATATTTCAATAGGTAGTCACCTGGATACTTCTTGTATACATCTGCCTAACGTTCTGAAGTTTCTACCTGACATATGTCTGTTGTCCTTTATCTCATTTCTATGGTTCATAGTCTGCTTAAAAACAAGTTTTTTTTACATAACTGAGTTCCTTCAGTTATGAGTAATAGACAGCTATATTTGGAATATAGGATCATTGAATGGTAAACATGTCCCACCAGTCAGGCATTCTAATTAAAATACAGAACCTGTGTCCATCCTTGGTATTAAATAAAAGATTTGGCAACTCTGTTCTAGTTTCTGTTCTGGTCATTATTACATCAGCCAATCAAATATCTGCATCCAAATTTTTTAGGTCTTTACTATAGAAAGTAGGATTGAGCACTTTCAGATCTTTGTAAGCAAAGCATGGACACAGGATCTGTATCTCAATCAAATTGCCAGACAGGGTTCATTGGACTTGGATGTGATTTTATGGATGGGTGGTCCAACATTAATTTTTGTCGAGCCTGCTACTTCTGTCTCAGAAAGCAAGACATAGGGAGAGTGATCAGGCGGCGGCATTAGCAAACTTCTTAAAAGCTTAATATTTCAAAAGGTAAAAGACCTGGATCCTTCATACTTTATATATTGATGCCTTATGTTCTGTAATATGTCTATTGTCTTTGACCTCATTTTCATGGTTCAGTGACTACTTGAAAAAAAGTTAAGATTTTTAGTATTCCTAATGTCTCTTATGAGTAATAGGATATCTATATTTGGTATGTGCGTACCTAACAAGGTCCTTATGCCTGTCAGACGGTTTACCACTTGACCTCGACCTCATTTCATGGATCAGTAATCAAGGTTAAGTTTTCGTGTTTTGGGATATTTTTCTTAAACGATGAGCAATAGGTCAACTATATTTGGTGTATGAAATGATTGTAAGATGTATATGTCTGTCTGGCAGTTATCATCTGACCTTGACTTCATTTTTATGGTTCATTGTTCAATGTTAAGTTTTCCTGGTTAAGTTTGTTTCTTAGATATTATATGCAATAGGTCAACTTTATTTAAAGCATGTAATAATGGGAAGGTGTACATGTCTGTCTGGCAGTTATCATCTAACCTTGACCTCATTTTCATGGTTCATTGATCAATGTTTAGTTTTCCTGGTTGAGTTTGTTTCTTAGATACTATGTGCAATAGGTCAACTATATTTAAAGCATAGAATGATTGTAAGGTGTACATGTCTGTCTGGCAGGGTTCATCTGACCTTGACCTTATTTTTGTCATCCTGCAACTTTTGTCGCAAAAGTGAGACATAGTGATCCTACATTCCGGCGGCGGTGGCGTCCACAAATATTCACTCTGTGGTTAAAGTTTTTCAAATTTTAATAACTTTCTTAAACTATTCTGGATTTCTACCAAACTTGGACAGAAGCTTGTTTATGACCATAAGATAGTATCCAGAAGTAAATTTTGTAAAAAAAAAATCCTGTTTATCCGTATTTTACTCATAAATGGACTTAGTTTTTCTGCCAGTTAACATTACATTCACTCTGTGGTTAAAGTTTTTCAAACTTTAATAACTTTCTTAAACTATCCTGGATTTGTACCATACTTGGACAGAAGCTTGTTTATGTTCATAAGATAGTATTCAAAAGTAAATTCTGTTAATAAAAAAATCCTGTTTATCTGTATTTTACTTATAAATGGACTTAGTTTGTCTGCAAGTTAACAATTCATTCACTCTGTGGTTAAAGTTTTCAAAATTTGAATTACTTTCTTAAACTATCCTGGATTTGTACCAAACTTGGACAGAAGCTTGATTATGATCAAAAGCTAGTATCTAGATGGAAATTTTGTAAAAAAAAAATTCCTGTTTTTTCGGTTTTTTCAGTATATTACTTATAAATGGACTTAGTTTTTCTTCCAGTTAACATTACATACAGTCTGCAGTTAAAGTTTTTAAAACATTTATAAGATTCATAACCCATCCTGGATTCTTACCAAACTTGAACAGAAGCTTCTTACATTCAAAAGATAAGTATCTAAGAAAATTTTTAATAATTATTTCCCCATTTTTGTTGAGCCTGCGACTAACAGCAAAAGTAGGCGAGACACTGGGTTTCGCGGAACCCTTACAAATTTTCATGGTTATTTGCTCAATATAAGTTTTCATGTTTTGGTCTGTTTCTTGTATACTATAAGCAATAGGTTAACTATATTTGGTGTATGGAATGAATTTAAGGTGTACATGTATTTCTGCCTTGGTTTATCTGAATTTTGCCCTCATTTTCTTTGATCATTTTAAGTTAATGTGATACTTGTAGTTAAACGATATATTTAGGACTATCAACATAAAAGTCAATGGTCAGAAAAGCAGCCGAGAAATTTCAGCATGTGCACTCTTGTTTTGATGTATGGTCTTTTTCACAGATACAAAAAACATGAGGTCAACTAAATGTGATGTATGAAATGATTGTAAGGTGTACATATTTGGTCTTACAGCCTGTACCTAATTTTCATGGTTCTTTGGTCAACCATAAGTTTTGGTGGTAATGTCAGTTACTTTTGGTGTTTGAATGATTGTAAGGTCTCTATTTCTGTCTGGCAGAGTTCCTCTGGCATTGACCTCATTTTCAATGTTCATGGTTTTTCAGATTTTATAAGCACTAGATCAAATTTATATGGTGTAAGAAATGATTGTTATGTGTGCGTGTCCATCTGACCTTGACCTCATTTTCATGGCTCATTGGTCACCTTAATTTTTTGGTGATTAGGTCTAAATTTCATGTATCATAAGCAAAAGGTCAACTGTATAGAATGGTTGTTAGGTGTATATGTCAATCTGGCAGAGTAGATCAGACTCACTTTCATGGATCATGAAAATGTCATGTTTATGTGATACATGTAATTGTAGTAAAACCTTGAACTTAAAATTTTGACTAGCATAACAAATTTAAATAACAAAGATCAAAATATGTTTATCAGCTAATTTGTATGATCAGGTTACAAACTCAGAAACATTGCACACAAACATGTTCAACCGCACCACATTCAGTCAGAGCTCAGACATATAGAAAATTCTTTTGTTTCGGACTAGCATTTTGATAAAAATGTTTTAACAATTCTGGACTTGTCGAAGTCAGAAAATGACACTTGTTTAAATCAAAACGGAAAGTCCTTTATCAAATGGCAAAATCAAAAGCTAAAACACATCAAAAGAATAAATAAACTGTTATCACAGAGATATGTCTCGCCTTTTTGTAATTTTGATAATGCAAATGTTGAAATTAAAATAGCAATACTTAACATGTAAGTTATGCAAATATTCAAAGTCAATGAACCATGACTGAAGGTACATAGCTACACAACCTCCATGGAATGAGAAGTGCCAATACAACTGCATACCAAATACCATTGACTTATTATAAGTCGTTCCCTTAAACAAACCTAAACACAAACATTAACTTGTAAACTATGTAAAAGTTTCAAAGTCAATGAACCATGATCAAGGGTGGGGTTACATAATCTCCATGGAAACGATACTTGCAAATGCCAATAAATTTGCATACCAAATATCATTGATTTAACATTAGCAGTTCATCTTAAACTGATCTAATCACAAACCAATACATGTAAACTAAGCAAAAGTTTCAAAGTAAATAGACCATGACTGAGGGGGCAGGGCCAAATATTCTCCATGCAAATGAGATGTGCTGATGCTTATACAACTGAACACCAATTAACATTGGCCTACCACTAATGGTTCCCCTTGAACTGACCTAATCACAAACTAATACATGTAAACTTAACAAAATTTTCAGAGTCTATAGACCATGACTAAGTGGGCGGAGCTAAATAATCTCCATGGAAATGAGATATCCCAATGCTTATACAACTGCATACCAAATATCATTGACCTACCACTAGTGGTTCCCCATAAATTGACCTAATCACAAACTAATACATGTAAACTATGAAAAGTTTCAAAGTCAATAGACCTTGACTGAGGGGGCAGGGCCAAATAATCTCCATGGTAATGAGATGTGCCAATGCTAATACAACTGCATACCAAATATCATTGACCAACCACTAGTGGTTCACCATGAACTAGACCTAATCACAAACTAATACATTGTTGATGCCGCCGCCGTTGCTGGAAACAGCATACCTGTCTCGCTTTTTGACTGTCAAGGCGAGACAAAAACAAACTGGTGTCATATTCCTGACTTGGTACAGGCATTTTGATGTAGAAAATGGTGGATTGAACCTAATTTTATAGCTAGCTAAATTATAGATTGAAAAGTTAATATTTACATCATAATAAATAATCTGAACTTGACCGACTGTTAGAAATCAAATTTTATCTTTACATTAATGGAGATAACCCCTGAAACAAATTTAGACAGCTTACATGTCTGAAATCTGACGGACATTCGTCATCGTCTGTCCCAAGACAGAAGCAGCCTGCAATTCAGTGGTTGTAATTTGTTAAAGTTGTTCATATTTGTTCTGTTATAAATTGAGCCATTCGTTTTCTTTCGTTTGAATTGTTTCACATTTTGTCATGATGGGTTTTTTTAATGTTGACTACACATTATTGGTTGGGCATTTTTTCAAGGCTGTTTGTTGATCTATTGTTGCTTACACCAACATCATTTGGACTCTGGTTGATATTTGTCTCATTGGCAATCATACCACATCTTATTATATTGTTACCCAGGGAAGGCACATTGAAAATGTGGTAAATATCTATAAGCAATTTCAGAATTTTTTTTTCCACTTTCACTTTTCAAAAACACCTACCTAAGAGTCGAGATATCAAAATCCCTTCTCTAATTCCATTTAAAATTAAGAATTGTGACAAGTATGTTTTTCGGAACAGCCCTTATGAAGATGCAAATTTGATATAAAGACATGACTTGACAACAACTTTTGAACGGATGTGATCAATATGATGAATATAAGTGATTCTTGTAGCTACTCCATTTGACAAATTACCTATTAAGGTCAGTATACCCAACAAGAATTATTAAAATATTAAAATTATCACTCATTCAAAACAGTAATCCTAAATATGGTTCCTAGATTGACAATGGTCAATACAGTACATCCAAATATTTTAAGGACTACAAAAATATTTTATTAAAATTTTATTTGTAAAACATACAATAAGCACCATCTTGTTGCTATTTTTAACAATGAATCCATGGAGTTTACAGGTTTAAATATACCTACAATAAAAACAATATACAAATATATTGACCTACTATAGCACATCATTTGCACCACCATCTGACCTACTTACCTGGAATTCATGATTATCACATAGAGAAGTCTCACTTCTTTATATGCTGTATATAAAAACAAATATCAATTTGATGGAGATGCCACAGTGGGGAAATAAAGTCATGATAAATGTGGTTCTATAATTTATAATTTTATGAATGGAAAATGTATACAATGATTACATGGATATTAAAAATTAATAATTACAATTGAAACCTTATTATTACATTAACATAAAACAAATTTTACATGACCTATCACCAATGAAAATGAACCACATTTCTCTAGCTTAATACTTTGTGAAACATTTTTAAAATTTCAGCAGAATACATACTCTTAACAAATTTAAAACAATGCAAACAAGCAAGAGTAACATGTAATTTCTTAATTCATTATTTCTTAATTCAATAAATTTTTCTGAATTCTTAACAAAGTCCAAAAACTTAAAATATGAAATTCAAAACTTTGAGGACAAAGGATGGTCCAAACCAGAGGATAATAAATAAAGTGGCATCTCCAACAGATAAATACAAATAGAACTATGATATGAAAATAAACATGCCCAATCTGTTAACCCTTTGTCTTGGCACATTAACAGGAAATATTACATAACAATTTTTAACAAATTTATACTGGTATAATTGGATCCAGTCTTTATACAATTATTTTTACAAATTGTGTATTGCACAGCGTCCTCCTTCAGCGTAAAATTTGATTCCTTTAAAAGTTTGTCATACTCAAGCTCCTTTTCATTCTGTTTCCAATCAGTCGACTCACTTTATCTGGCTGTGCAAACACTGGGGTATTCTGTACAAGGCATTGTGTAGCTTCTATCAATTTTCTGGAGAGAAAAAAATCAAAAGTTAGGATGTTGTACTAAGAATTTGAAGTAACAAATCATTAAAATCATTAAAATCTATTACTTCTTAAGATTCAATATTCATAGTTATTACATGTGTGTATTATATTAAGTTAAACTATGATTCAATTATTTTCAGTGTCCACTGTGACAGGCTTTTTCTGCAAGCATTGAAACATATCAAAAAAATAATCTTTTTTTTTACTTTATTATCTCTAGTTTTATATTAGGTATAATATGTCAAAATCACATTGCAAACAGGGTGACCTACATTTGCTTTAAAGTTTGTCATTTGAACTCTACTGGATAGTTGGGCAATCATACCACATATCCTTATTTGTATAAAATCAAGAATTTTCAAATTGCCTTCTAAAAAGTTCTATACGAGTCCATCAAGTACCTTGATAACATCTGGTTCTTAAATCTTTCTTCGTTCAGTTCTTTTCTAAGTTGGGCTTTTGATTTCTTGGCCTGCGGACACAAAACAGGATGTTGTGTGATTTGTGTTGCTGATGGTCTTTGTGTTGGGTCAGGGTCTACCATACTCTGCAACAAAAAAATAAAACAATGAATACATTTTCTCTTCAAAATCAGTAGCAACTTATATATTGTGATTCAAAGAAACCATACTTCAATTTTCTAGACTAGAAGATAATTGACAAATCATATTTTTTTTAATTTTTAAACTGTTCAGTCATGATATGTGTGTGTATGTTCTATTTTTTTCTTTCATGTTAAATACAAAATATCTACAACGGACATTCAAAAGTTCTTACTATATTCCCAGAAGAAAATGTCTTCTTATTCCAATTTTCAAAATAAAAATGACCAGTGTTAAGCCGTGGATTGCACATAATATTTTTTAGTTTTCTTATTTTGATCTGGTCTACTTTGTCCTAACATGAATAATTATTAATAAATTCACTTTATTGGTACTTGTACTCCTTGATATAATTTCCCTACATGTACTTCTATGTTCACAACAAAACTAAACTTACTTTGAGTAGGTGGTTCATTTCTACACTCAGGTGAGGTAAAGATGGTAATTCACCACGTCTGATAGCATGCCACTTAGGTCCATTCTTAGGTAAAGGATATCCACCTGCCTGTAATACAAAATAAATCTTGTATAAGTACAAATGCTTAAGAGTAAAATGCTTGCATTGAGATAATACCAAACTTGCAAGTCCATTTTTCACTTTACTCTTGTTAGACTTCACAGATGTCAAATTAAGTGATATGCACTAGGGATGCAGTTTAAGCAGTTTTACACACATAAGACCATTGAAAATCACTTTCAAGTGTTTGGATTAGTGTCTTTAAGTAAGTAATTTTAATCAAATTGAAAAACATTTCTTCGCTACTTACTGCTTCATACATAGTTAATCCCAGTGAGAAGATATCAGATTTTGTCAGGTTCTCATAGTCATCATTGAGAATTTCTTTAGGTAAATATCTACAATCTCCATCATCAACTGTTGGGTTAGACACTGATGTTACGTGACCTAAATCTCCTGTAAAGACATAATTATATATGTTACAACTGTTGTTATGTGACCTAAATCTCCTACAATGACATAATTATATACATGTATGTTACAACTGATGTCAATAAAACAAGCACATGTTTTTGACAAAGCTACAGCAATTTCCTATGCTTTCTAGGCCACCCTTAAGAATTTCTTAGTTTGATGTTGCTAACCCATGCTTTGAAGGGTTGCGAAAGTTGATAGGGATTTTACTTTTTTTCTTTTGCCAACAACATAAGTTGCATGTTTTAGACAAGAAAATGACGCAAGAGCAGGAAAAAATCTTCAACAAAAAATTGAGATTTGTGTAGGCTGCTTTTTAGGTTGGTAGGAAGGCAACATCAAACAATTTAAATTATTTTTTTCGGCCCTATGAAATTGAAGAAAAAAAAGAGGAATATACTTTTCTTAAGAGTCGTATCACTTAAGAAAGTCACAAATTTCAGAGAACAAGTTAAGATCTGGCACTTTCTTTGAAATATAATCATCCAACATGCTGAATTGATTTTTACATATACATGTATGTGCCCAAAATCTTCGTATAAATCTTGTAAAAAGGGAAAAGATATAACCAAAATTTGAAGTACTGTTCATTAGCACATTCACTACACAATAATGTCTTAATTTTTACCTTACTTACCAATTTTATATGTTATTGCTTCCTCTACTTCATCATCTTCCTCCAGAGATTCCATTCCACTCTCAGGAGAGTTCAGGAACTTAGGGTTCCGATGGATAAACACGTTGCCTGGTTTAACATCAAGATGGACAAGGTTCTGAGAGTGTACATATCTCAGTCCCCTCGACACTTGCAGGAGAATCTGTTTAAACTCATCTTCACCCAATTTACGGCCAGTCTTCCTGTTGGTATCAATTACATCAGCTAGACTCCCACCTAAAAATTAAAAACTTCAAGTAAGAAATCTTGGTTATCAGCTCATATATTAGAATTTCTCTCATTGTTCAAATAGAATTGTCAAATGTTTTCATTAAAAAAATATTGACCTCTTATCAAAATTTATAATGTAACTACAATGTACTTCAAACATTTTAAATAGACTGACAAACAGGAAACAAAGAAGACAGGTTTGAATATATTTTAAGACAAAGTGTTAAATTTGCATTACTTTTTCAATCTTTAAGGTTTTTAATTCTTTTTTCCATGAAAGATGGTTTATTTAAATTTTTTTCTAGAAGATGTTGAACTATTTTAAACACATTGATGGTTCTCCCACACAATTCAATTATTTTAGACCCAGTTTGAAATTGTGAAAGGTCCATGTCTTTTAAATTCTGAAAATGGAGCTTACCATTACAGTATTCATTCTGTATATACATGTAGTCATCTTCAGCCCAGGCAGAGTAGTATCTCACAACATGTTGATGTTTTCCAAGAACAGCATGTGCATACACTTCATTCATAGCATTCCTCCTGAAAACAAGCAAATATACTGTTTATTAAAAAGTGTATGTATAATAGACACCAGGTTGACATTCATACTCTCATTCAACTTCAATGGTGATTGTACATGCGTCATTCATTTTTACTAGAAAAAAGATTAAGCTTAAGATTTCAGGAATACATGTACAAACTTTGTACTTTTCAAACTTAATGGTTTACTTTTACAAATTGTGACTTGGATGGAGAGTTGTCTCTTTGGCAATCATACCACATCTTCTTACATCTATTAACAGTATTTCACTTGATCTCATTTAATGTCATTACTCAAATGCAAAATTACGAAATTAACAAAAAATATTTGTTAAAGGTATTTAACTAGAAAAGTCTTTTGTAACCATCCAAATTTCAATTGTAAACATTCATGGTAAATAACTTTCATCATTTTTAATCTAAGGACACATTCATTTTGTCTCTTATATGCTGCTTGGTGATGAAACTATTAACTATACTTACTCATACTGGCTCCCTGCTACTGGTGCCTTGGACTTTTTTATGGCATATGTACATCCATCTAATCGGTGTATACATTTGTAAACACTACCAAATTCTCCATCACCAAGTTTACACACTTCGTGAAACTCTTCGTTATACCGTGATGTGTTGATTTCATGCAAGGCAATTTTCTGAAAGAAAACGGAAACAATAATCATTGCTGCTACAAAAAAGGTTTCAAGTTAATCATTTACCTAATCAAGAATGTGTGCATATACCTTTTTCTCCCAACCTCTCATAATTTTCATCTATAATTTGCAGCTTTCATTAAGTTTTCACTTGTTATTTGCAATATCTTTCATACATGTAACTAAACAAATTTTTAGAAAGTTGACAATATTTATTAAATTGGTTGTCTATTTTCCAACATGCACTTGTATACATGTACATTTGTTAAGAACTGGAATAAACATTATGAAAAAGTTTCTGTCTTAAATAATTGAAATGAGTCATTTTCATTATTTTTAATCTTCTTTAGATACAGAAAACCATCAAATTTTAGAAGATACTTTCCAGAGCATGCCTGTGTGAGGTTGCTTTGAAGTTAATTATATTTTTTCTTTTATTTATAAAATTTACAATTTTTATTTCATTTTTAAATGTTTAATGTGTTTATTCCTTCTATTTACATCTGAACTACATGTATAACTATACATACCTTTGTTGATGGCATATCTATTTCAATTTCATCAGCTGAATCTTCTAATAAACTCCTGGAAATATTCAAATAATGTTTAAGAACATGTGTACATGCACATTTATAGGTACTCCCTAATTTAAGACTAGAACCTTGTAAGCTTAAATAACTACAGTACAGTGTTATTCATTAACAAGAATGTGTCCATAGTACACGGATACCCCACTCGCACCATCATTTTCTATGTTCAGTGGACTGTGAAATAGGGGTCAAAACACTAATTTGACCAAAAATTTAAACCTGAAGTGGGACAGACGCACAGATCGAAAAACATAATGCCCTTAAGTGGGGCATAAAAATGTAGGTAATCAACATCTACCACTTTCCCTAAGTCATTATAAGCAACAATGCAGTTTTTCAAAATAGACTGAGACATAATTTCATGAAAGTGTCAAGGAAATGAATGTTCAATCGTACAGCTGTAAATATGTACATTCATGTTATAAATAAATATATATATCAACTGAAAAGAACTTAGTACAAATGTATAAACTGTTAAACATTGACATGCTATGGCATATGCATTGTCAATATTCAACGAAACTTGTGGAAATTAGCTCAACCCGAACTTTTGTCACCATTCCTTATGTTTAAAGATAAGTATAATCTAGCTCTATCATCCGCAGAGTGTCAAAAAAAATATCACACAGACCATTAGACTTCCAGTTTCACAAATAGCAATTTTTGTGATCTAAAAAAAAAAATCTGACCACTACTGATGCCATCATGTAAACCTAAGCCAAACATAAAGCTATCTTCAGACAAACAAAATCTTCTAACTTACTAAGCTAAACCATTTACAACAGAAATGAGTTATCAAATTTTAACCTACCCTGCGCCTAAACAAAATTCCTAAGTATCACGGTGTACCATAAGAGGAAAAAAATTAGTACAAAGCGACAAGTTGTGTCAATTTTTACCTTAGGATCAGGATCAGAAAGATATTAATACATAAAATGTTTAAAGTTTTGAAACAGGTGACTGGAGGAATCAATATTTCCAAAAATGCACATCATCTTCTGTAAAACACTTCTGGTGTAAAAGTTCATAATTGCACCTGACAAAATCACCTGTTCAACTTCTGCGAATTTTCAAATTTCTTAACTTTTTCATGTCTGATCATAAATTTTGTCTAATACAACTATATTCAAACTTACTTTTCCATTTGCTCTCTACTTCTTTTTATACTAGCCATGCCAGATGTCACTGAACACGATAAAGGTCTGTTGTTGCAAGGTGTAAATGGGTTGACATTGGCCTCAACTTTTTCGCCATTTTCTTTTGATTTTCTTTCATCTGTCAATCTTCTTCGTCTGGCTTTTTGTAATAAAGATTTAGGTGTATGAGGAGTATCAAAAAGTCTTAACGCTCTAAGCTTACGTGATGGTGGTGAAATGGGACACGCTTCGTCCGGAGAGATGACATGTTTTCCAGGGGCTGGCACTCGCTGTTCGTCATCTTCCACGTCACCATCATTTTCCTCGTCTATTCCAAACGGAATTGGTGATAATTTACGCGAACTAATAAATGTCCTGGCTGAACGTGATGTTGAATTTAAATATGGTGTTGATATATCCACTTCCAAATAATCTGGCTCATCATAACTTTCCATACTCGGTGAATGAAATGGGCTTGAGCCTCCATCGTTCGGGCTGAACTCCCCGTCTGAATCGTGAAAATTCAATGTTTTAACTAATCCATTTTCTCTCTTTCTCAAGGCCGATCGCCTTCCTCTACGAACTCTTGGTTGTAACGTTGACATTTCCAAATCACTTTGTTATTATTGTAAATCCAGTTTTCAAATGAAATATGTTTACAAAATTCATGTAAATATAAATCCAAAACCACGCTTGTCGTAAATGGCGGGTCTGTCGATCATGTGATTTATTTGACCAATGAAAATTGCCCTTTGTAAGATGTTTATCGCACTTACCAATCGGTATAGTCTATTCCATTGTTATCAGGACAGCCTGGGGCAATTTATTTTATTTTTGAAATTTTGCAATTTGCTTTACAATCAACAAATAATAGTAAATTTGTATTACTTGTCCAGTGCATTAAACGTGATTTGTTTTCCCATTTTGTTTATGCAGAATTATGATTGAGTATGCTGCTGCTGTTGATAATGATAATTTCTAAATTCTTGTCTATTTAAAGGGACCTTTTGATTTATTATCTTTTATCCTTTCTTTCTTTCTTGATTTTTTTTTTTTTTTTGTGGTAATTATTTGAAATACGAAGGATAACAGAAACAATAGAAAAAAATACTGAACAGTCCACCATATACCGCATGGAACCGGCACTAACACACGACTCCGTCGGGGTGGGATGGAGGGGTAAACTGGTCCGCCGTATATATAGACAGACAACAACGAACAACAAATCAAATGGTCCAGATACATGTAGCCTGATTTTGTACAGACACAAAACGTGATGGAGTTAAACTAGTTCTGAGCACAAACTTCCCCATTGCCTATCTACACCATATGCCTTAGAAACTAAAACATTCAACAAAAATCGTACACCGTGTAACTACATACCAGATTAAGACTAACTTGAACAAGGCAAGGATTTGTAAAGAAAGAAGGATTGGAATCTTACTATACAAATCCTTGAACAAGGTTATAAAAATAAGACACATACTTTGGAAAGCACGATTTAAATGTTCTCGCTACTTCATTTTTAAGCTACTTTTCATTGGAGGTTGCCGCAAAAGAAAACAAAAAAACATAAAAATTAAAACATTCGTAACAGGTTTCACGAAGTCTCATCGTAAAATTTGAATTATTTAGGTTCTGAACCGTTCAAAGACTATAAACATGGTGTGTATGTTGGGTTTTTTTTAACAGAAACATTATATTTACAGCTAATTTAGATACTGAATACGACTGAACATTTTTTGCAAAAGTATTATAAACATTCTGGGGTGTCTGTAAAAGTAAATTTTGTTTTAATTCAAGATTATTTCCATTAAAGTCAGCTTCAATTGAACATATTCCAGCAAACCGTACAAGTACGAAATATGCAAATCATAGGATGAGGCAGATATATATATATATATACACATGTGTATATATGTCTCTGGATGAGGGAAGACGGTCATCGTCTTGAAAAGGGGAAGTAAGTGCACGATTGCAAAGTTGTCGTATATTTTAGTTTCAAGTTTACTCTTATTCAAGTTTAATTATGATAATAACGATTTCTTGAGACCAATTGTCCATGTTCTTCGCCCCCTGCTTGTTGACTAAGTATACTTTTAACCTCTTCACTGAAATTTTAATTGATCTCGTACAAGAAAACTGACACTGATCCGTTACGCTAATATGGTAAGGATTTTGGTACACTTGTGTTATGAATTTGACATTTGCAACGATTCAGCTAAACCAGCGGGTGACGTCATTTAGCAGCAGGTGAACTTCAAAGGTGTGAAGCCATGCAGTTTCATATTTATTGCAGAAAAAACACAATGTGTGTTGTTTCTTACACCTATAGGTGTTTGTTTCTACTGCTATTTGTTTAATTTTGCCAGTTTATCTAATTTTATTCTTTGTTTCTTAGATTTATAGAAAATATTTCTTTTAAACTCCGATAATTGATAAAATGTACCGTCAGTAATTATTCTTGTTATCGTTAACTAATAAACATGAGTTGATCTGTTATGTGATATTTCGTAGCAACATTAAACAGTGTGAATTGTTAATTTCTTATCATATTTATATTAATCTTAAACTAGACAATAAAACATGTTTTTCTTGTAAATATCCTTATTTATGTATTTTTATCAAATTTTATTGTCGTATCAATCTTTTTCTTTTATTTAATGAAACATTTAGATTTTCTAACTATAAAAGCCAACATTTAGTTTCGACAACAAAAAAAATCAATCAGATTCTTAAATGAGTTGAGACCGATGATATTTTATAAAGAACTCTTCCAACATCATTCGATTGACCTGTCGGGGACTTGTTGTAATGCATGGGGGAGGGGTGAAAAATTGCGGTCTTTTTCCCATTTTTTTTTTAAATCCTGACTTATACTATGTTTATAGTCTTTGAACCTTTAAGAACAGTAATTATTGTACAATTGGTTTCTTTTCATTGTAAAATATGCGTGAACTATTTGACACTGGTCGTTCAACAAATGAATGTAAAAGCAATCAGTCTCGTTCGGTAAAGATTAAAAATATCGTTAAAAATTCTTTGATAAGCTTGTTTAAAAAAATTAGAAAAAAAGAAAATTAAGTAAGACAACCGTTGGTGCTAATTTCTCGTCCTTTCAACCAGCTGGATGGTTTCGTGGTATGCAGCGTGCTCGCCTAAAGTGCGGGTTTCGATCATGAAATAGAATCTAATGAGTTGAGACTCATTCTATTTTATAAGGAACTCTTTCAACATCGGACGACTGACCTGCCAGTGACTTGTCGCAATGCGGGGGGGTATAAATTTGCAGCCTTCTTCCAAAAACAATTAAAAAATTTCCCGACTATGTTTATAGTTATTGAACCTATTAGAACCTAATTATTGTATAATTGGTTTCTTTCCATATGCGTGAACAATTTTATCTGGACGTTAGGCAAAAATAAATTCAAAAGCAATCAGTTTTGCTAGATAAAGATTAAAAATTACGTAAAGAAATGTTTGACAAGCTTGATTTGAAAAAAAAATATTGTACAGAAATGTATCAGACAACTTTGGTGCTAATTTCGCTTCTATTTTACCATCTCGATAAAAGGTAGCGTGCTCGCTTAGAGTGCCGTATATAAGGTTGGGGTTCGATCCCCGGTCGGGTCAAATTAAAGACTTTCAAATTAGTATTTGTTGCTTCTACACTAGGCACGCGTTGTTAAGGAATATATAGAGCTAGCGAAGACTGGTCAGTTCGGAGTCAGATTAATGTATTCGTACTGGGTGACATGTTTCCATGCTTACTATTACCTATAAAAATAAGAAGATGTGGTATGATTGCCAATGAGACAACCCTCCACAAGAGACCAGATGACACTAAAATTAACAACTATAGGTCACCTAGCTTATTTTGTGAAATAGCACGCAAAAGATTATGCTTAGCATGTAGATCTAGTACGAAGAAGTGCTCATATTCGTATCGCATTAACATGTTCTTGTCCTGGGTATGCATTTAATTTTGCACTGGCAATGAAACAGCCAACAGTCATCATCAAAATGTCTCCTTTTTCATACATATAAGTGTCTGAGTATTTCAAAAATAATGGATAAAAATTAGAGAATAATGGGCAAAAAACAAAGAGAAGAGAATAATAAACAAAAAAATATAGAGAATTATAGGGTGCTAAAATATAAAGAATATAGAGAATACTAGGGTGCTAAATTGTAAAGAAAATAGAGAATATTGGGCATCAAAAAATAAAGATTAGAGGACAATTTTCCACAAAAACTTGTAAAGAAGTAAAGAAAGTTGCGATTTTTTTCTTCTTAACTACTTTTATAGAAAGACCACCTGATCATTCCCTCATATACCGTACAGTTCCCTGTTTTTTCTTTCATTCATGCATGTACACGAGATTGATTTTTTTCTCCAAAGGAAAGCCATTATCCTTGTTTGGGGACAATTTGGTAAATTTTAGATATATATTAATCTGTGTTTATAAATTAAAATTCAGGGTGTTAAAGTCAGTTTTTTCCAATAATTGTGCAATTTTGGAAATTTTGACTCAAAGAATCTACTTTCAATTTTCATGTGGAGACCTTAAATTTGAAAGAAGTATGGATCGCGCGAATTCAGTATTGCCTCTAGTGGCTATCGTTTTTTAAATGAAAGAGAGAGGGAAAAAATCTTTTATGCACTTGGATGAATTCCTTTAGTGTAAAACTGTAGCTTATAAAGTACCTTTTCTATTACTCTGTAGCCTATATCTGCTAAAATATCGATGGAATTTTAATCATATTTGTTACCCCTCCCCCTTTTTCTTCACTCATGCACACTAACATTCCAATAACTCTCTACATTTATATATATCTCTAAAGCACCGTATTCCATGTATAATTGATTGGGGGAAAAAACAGTGAACAATTATTCTTTATACTGAACTTAATTATTTGTAATTCGATAATGAAGAAGGGGATTTGTAAAGATCTGTTAATTTCACAAGTTAAAGCAAAAAGAATGATTTTATCTGACAAAATATTGACACTTTTCTTATCTCAGTAATGAACACAGTCACTTAAATTGTGAGTCGAGATCGCCTAGATTAAAATTCCATTTCAAGTTGGTAATCAGGGATCAACTTTTGAAAGGAATATTATCTATTTTCTGGCAAAAATTACTTTTTTCTCACATTCATTGTCTAATTGTTAAAAAAGCAATTATATTATTGTAGTTAACACATTTTCTTTGTTATCCTTTCAGTAAACCAGTCAACTGTGACGACCTTTCAGAATTTTGTAGTCACCTTGATATAATTAGCCAACAGTTTTTTATTTAACAATAAGTTGTCATTTTGTTAATTATTACATAACAATAGGCATGGCATTGTATTATTTTTATAAGAAATAATTAGCATTGATTACTCAATAATTAGTTTCAATCAGGACCAACCTCACCTTTGATGTCAATTCTATATTGTTTAGGATCAATATTTAGAATCACGGTCTTCAAAATACACAATATTTAAACAACTTAGTTCACCATATTGAAAACTAATTTAAAATTTTTCAGGTTGTCTGGAAATCTTTAAAAAATATCTTAATCTAGGATTAAAATGGATTAACGATACAGACCAGTTGACATGCGAGCTCCCTGTCAAACCACGAGCGCAATGTCAAAACATTTCTTATCGATGTCTTTGGCTATAACGATGCTTATGTACACAGCAACATTGGAATTTAAACTATA